CCTCTCCAAAAAAAAAAAGAAAAGAAAGAAAGAAAGAAAGAAAAGAAAAGAAAAAGAAAAAGAAGCCCTCACAGGCAGCCAGATGTCCAAGCCCTCAACCTGGCTGGCCCAGTCACTGTGGGGGGACGAGGCACAGTGGCCATCACGGCCAGGTAAACTCTGTGGGGCTCTCAGCATCTGCATGCTCCATGGCATGAGCCCCAGGGCTGGGTGCTGCTAGGGACCGGCAGGGACCAGGGTGGTTAGCACAGGAAAGCCAGGGCAGGAGCACAGGTGTCTGCAGAGTGGCCAGAGCCCAGGAAGCCACCGGAGCCCCTGGCCTCAAGGCCAGGCTGCCGGGGACCAGCCTCGGCGTGGGTGGGTTATCTCGACGGAGGCGGCGAAGGTGAACAGAAGGCAGAGGCCTCGATGCCTTTTCATGCACGTCCTATGTCGGACACCCCTCAAAGATCGCTCTCTGAGGAGCGACAACTGTTAGGAATTATCGTGCCTTTTTATTGAAAATGTGTTACATGCAAGTAAAGGGAGAGGGGCTAGTGTTTCAATTATCAGCTCATAAAGTTTTAAGAATAGGGAACATAGATTCTATTCAGGGTTGGATTAAGGGTGGGTCTAGTGCAGTTCCGCAATTGTAGGTGGATCTCTATGGAATGCAGTTTCGGGAAAGCGGTTCCGGTAAGCAGAGATGATTATCAGCTGATGCGGCGCAGGAGCCATCTTGTGATTACCGGGAATGGTGCTGAGAAAAGAAAATCTCAAGGATAGATATTAGTTCTTAAGGATCTTAATAAAGAATGATACTTATACAGTTTTGTAGGGATTTAAAACTTAATTTGAGGAATCCTAATATATTTATCTATTTAACTTGGAGAGAGCAGAGGTGTCCTGGGCCAATTTTGACCTAATCCTATTTTAGGTAAAAAAAGGATTAAGTTTACTTTAAATGTATTTTGAAGGGCCTTCCAAAGGTCAAAATTACTTCTGCCTAGAAAAAAACTTCAGCCCACCCTCTATTGTGACCATGGAGATAAAGCATTGTAATTAATAGTAAGTGATCAGAGCAAA